GGAATAGATTAGCAAAGAGACTTGGATTAATTCTTTAATTAATCCTTGATTAGTGTTTGGATTGACGGGGTGTCACACAAAGTATGTAAGATAGATAGAATGTCTTAATTGGACAAAGGAGGGGCCTTTTATACCAGCTACGGGCCTCCTAACTGCCCACCTAACTCGGGGTGACGGTTGTCCCCCGTTTTGACCGCGCCTGGTCTGGAGACCGAGCAACGCGGCCGAGGTCAGCTGCCGACCTCGTGCCGAGGTCCGTCGCCGATCTCGTGCCGAGGCCTCGCGCTGAGGTGCTCGCCGAGGCCTCGCGTCGAGGCCTTGTGCTGAGGCTGGGCACGCAGCGTCATCCCGGGGTCCACTCTTGCTCCACGCTCCCGGATCGGTTTGGGTCGACCTACAATATATCCATCATCAGTCCCCCACTCTCCGAGTTGCGAGTAATCGTCAACGAAGGAGAGTAGACGCTCCAGCCGACCCGCCGCACGTGCCGACCCCCCCGACGTCCGCGCCCGAGGCATGCGTAAAAAACACTCTGATCGCGATAAGGTTGGACTTCTATCGCGAGTATGACCCCTTCATCTGTTAGGACTCAAATGTAGAGTGGTAGAATTAGGGGTGGGCGTTTCGGGTTTCGGTTCGGTTATTTTCTGTTTTGGTTTTAAAAAAGTTAACCATTTAGTTTAACATTAGAGTTCGGTTCGGTTTCGGTTCAAATTTAATTCGGTTCGGTATTCGGTTTGATTTAAGATCCTCAAATTTCAACATTTCCTAATTTTTTTAACATAATACCAAACAATACATATGCACATAATCACATAATCCAAACTCTAAACATTATATAACAAACTAGTAATGCAAAGTTCAAACAAGTACTAAATCCTTAGTGTATATATTCCTTTGCTTTTTAACTCTGTACATGTTTCCTGGAAAGTGAAGTGAATATATGCTATGGAGTATCAAAAGATTTGAAATCTTGAAGGAGCTTCTTAGTGATATTTGGTCCGTGATTTTTCTTTTTTAATACTACTGGCTCTGTTTCAATGTAGTATCTGTTCATATATACTTTCTCAATCTATTGAAGTAGAGAGTCATTTCATGTCACTTCACCACAAGGTCATTGATTTGATCGGTGATTTAATTTTATTTTTTTTAAATAAAAATAATAGAGTCGTTGAATTTAGGACTTACCCAAAATAACACTCCAAAATTAAGCATTTAATACATGATGAGGCACATTACATTACTTCCCAACTGTGTAGTAAATTGCCATAATTCCATACCAGCAATCTGGTTGCTTAGGTTTTAGTTCTCTGCAATATATTGCTTGCCTCATGCAAATTTAGATCCACTTTAGGTTGGGAAGTAGGCAGTCATCATTAATACATAGTACTTCCCATATTCCATTCTACATGGGTTTGACCAATTTTATAAAATAAAGTTAACCATTTAACGTCGCGTTTGGTTGGATGGAATTATAATGCTATTCCCACTTAATTTCTACATAATTTCAAAGGCAAGTAAATTCATTGGTTTGGTGGGAAGGAATTACAATTTCACAGAATTAAAATTTTCTCATTTTCAAGGAATTAAAATTTCATGCCCTCCTTGGTATTTCAATTCCATAGATTTTAGGAGGATAAAAAAATAACTTTGAGACAAAATTATCTCTCTTTTTTAACATAGACCCATCTATTATTGTGAAGTGTTCAATTCCCACCACGAACTAAATTAAGTGTCAAATAGGCCCATCTACTAGCTAAATTTGTTCAATTGACATTTTTTCCATGTTGCTAGCAGGTTGCCTATTTAATTATTAAAAATAAATAAATAAATAAAATTAAAAAAAAAATATCAGCCACCGGCTGTCCGTGAAAGGGCAGCCGCCGGTGGCTGGTATTCTTTTTTTTTTTTATTATTTTTTAAAAATTTTTTATTCTATTTATTTATTTATTTATTTATTTATTTATTTATTTATTTTTAATAATTAGATAGGCAACCTGCTAGCAACCTGTAAAAATGTCAATCGAACAAATTTAGCTGGTAGATGGGCCTATTTGACACTTAATTTAGTTCGTGGTGGGAATTGAGCACTTCACAGTAGTAGATGGGTCTATTTGACACTTGTGCCGCATAAAATTGATGTTTGACCACTCTCTTTTGATTATAGCGTGTCTTCTTCTTCTACTCTCAACATAGAACATCAATTAGTAGTCCAACCTCGATCAAATATATTTTCTCAAAACTTTCTTATCTATTTTATTGCTTTTGTTATGTAATTCTAGGGTTTATTTATAGCATCTTATATAAAACTTCAAAAGCAAAATTTGAATTTGGTCGTTTAGAATTTATAATAATAATAATAATAATAATAATAATAATAATAATAATAGTTATAGTAATAGGACACTCTTGCTGCTGGGAGTCGAACTTATAACGTTGTGGTTATTAAGTTAAGACATATTTTTCGATTTACTTCTCCACCAAAACTCTTTGTTTATCGCCTTATCCCCTGGTTTGGGTGCAAACGTTGTACTTTCTCAACTTACTCTTGCACTCGGGTTTGGCAGACCTTATGGGCTCGTTTACTAACTATAAAATTTCTTCAGTTTTCCAAAAAATTGGAGAATTGGAGAACAGAAAACAAAATACATGTTTACTAACACAATTTTTTCCAGCTTTCTAAAAAACTGGAAAACTATTAAAACTATTTTCTAAATGAAAAACATAATCATCTATAATCTATTTGGCTATATATCACTATAACTATATTCTCACCATTATTTACATATTTATTCATTACTATGATTACATTCATTATCATCTTCTTTTACTTATCACCATCTTCTATACCTTTTCAACTTAGTTGAAAAATAATATGAGAATTTGAATCCCATTAAAAAAAAAAATGAATTTATCGTATTGTGCACATCGGTGTACACACATTTCAGTACAAACCTTATACCTTCCTAACTCCCCTCACCCACCTGCCCACCCACCCACCCTGAGGCCATCCTAGCTCGAAGCTCAGTGCATTAACCCACAAGCATTAAATTTTGTCAAACCACTGATAAAATATAGTATATATGCATGAAAGTTGCAGCATATAGCTATTTCCAGGTTTCTTCTCCTAGAAATAAGATGGATGATACTAAGTTAGATTTCGCCTCACAACTCAATTGATTAATCAACACAAAATAAATTGAAAGCCTTTACTTTATCAATATAATTATTATACCATATTTAAATTATAATCTACCTTGTAAAGTGGACCATTGATATATACACATTCATTTTTAGTATATTAAATATTTAATTTTAATATACTATTGTTCATTTTTAATATATTACCTAAAAATAAGCATTCAGTATATTAAAAATAACACTTATTAGTAGCCTACATTACAATGTCGACTATGGTCCACAATATAATTTGCAAGCTTTATTAGCGGTTGTAGGGTCTAGACTCTATAGAGTTCAAATCATACCAAGAATTATTTATTTATTTATTTATTTATTTATTTATTTGTAAAGGGTAAAAATTTAGCTTTGTCAAATGAGAGTTGAATTATCTGAACAGTTACAACTGAATGAGAATACATCAGAGATAAAAGATAACTTGACCTGAAACTCTCCTATCTAATAGAGAGCACATGTCAATTAAATCTAAACCACATAAATAAAGAAATATAAAACTATATACTATAACATTTATTAAATCGGCCGTCGATTGATTTCCTTGTCTCAACGTCTGGAATTGGCCTAAGAGGCTGAGACAGCGAGCTTCGGTGGAGGATCTAAGCGAGGAGGTGATCGACTGCCAAACCGCCGCAGCTGTCTCCCGTCCGAATGCTAGGTGAAGCACTTCATCGGATATGGAGGAGATCAGGATGGATAAGATGGACTGGTCCTGCAAGACCCAGGCCTTGTACGCGGGGTTGGGAACGACTGCCGCGGTTGTTGTCGCACCGGAGCCCGACTCACCGGAGGAGGCAGCGGCGATCGTCGGTGGAGGACACGGCGTCGAGCCGTCTACGTATCCCAGTAGATCTTGCCCCCGGAGAAAGGGGACGAGCTGAGTTCGCCAGAAGAGGAAATTGCGGCTGTTGAGCTTCATGGAGACGTGGTGGTGTGCACCGGAGAGGGAGTTGCCGGTCGCCGGCGATGGGGAGCCACCGACGGTCACTGTACGCTCGGAGGAGTGCGATGACATGGTGATCGGACGGTGGTGTTTTGGGGTGGAGAGAGAAACAGATCGTAATCCTATCTGATACCAAATGAGAGTTGAATTATCTGAACAGTTACAACTGAATGAGAATACATCAGAGATAAAAGATAACTTGGCATGAAACTCTCCTATCTAATAGAGAGCTCAGGTCAATTAAATCTAAACCACACAAATAAAGAAATATAAAACTATATACTATAACATTTATTAACATGTCATAAGCACTAATACAAACATTTGAGAGTTGATGTTACTTAAATACATCCTGTAATTTACTTCTTCAATTATTCCACCGATCTTCAGAATAAAAGTAGTGATGACTCTCAAATTTGGAATTAAAATTTAAGATGATACTAAGCTAAGTGGTGAAATTGATGATACTAAGCTAGTGGTAAAATTTTAACTGAGTTAATTCTGATTATAGTGATTTTGCTACATTTAGTTTTAAATTTTTGAATTGAACATTCATAGTTCTTTGACTTTCAAATTGTTACTATTTGTGGTCCAAATAAATCATTCATGGTCCTTTGACTATCAAATTTTAACTACCCATAGTCCTTCTAGAAAGACCAAGGTTGATTAAATTTTGAAAGTTAAAAGACTTTAGGTGATTAACTTAGACCACGAATGATAACAATTTAAAAATTGATAGATCGCGAATGATCAATTTAAAAATTTAGAACTAAATATGACAAAATCATTATACTCGAAAGACTCCGTATTACGTTAACTGAGTTAACTGAATTTTAACCTGACAAGTCAAGGAAACATAGCATTGCAGCCACAACAGCACATTATTATTAATTATTAGAATCCTAGTACATTTTACAGATAATCCTACACACTATATATATATATATATATATATATATGAATTTAAGAACCTCTAACTGCATATCTAGAGCCTTGCACCTATAGCTAGTATTTAATACTATTTCTAGAAATATAAGCAGAAAACACCACACCACCAAACACATAATCACTCTGGCTGCAGCTGGCTCTTTCCTGAAGAAACATCAAGGATTGCTGACACATTTTACAATGTTAAACAACCATTTCACAATATATATAATTAATCTGAAGCTTCTTATGAAAATTGTCTGCTACATATTTAGTCTTTTTTCCAGACAATAATGTTTGGTTGGGGAAACATCATCTAGGGGTTGTGTTGCTGAGTGTAGATGTAATCCAGATGAGCCTCTGCAACCACCCTTCTCTTCATGCATTCTTCATCTGTGGTCTCACATTTCTCTAGCCCCATAAGCTTCTGCACAGTTTAAACAACCAAAACTCAGTAATTATTCCAAGAATTTGAGAAGAATGTGTTGGGCGAGAACTGGGAGAGTCGAGTTCAGCATCATGCCATCAAATTATAAAGTTGATTTTGTTGAGCATATAACTATTAATGTGCAATCCAATTATCAGCTTAGACTTTTAGTTGAATTGAAACACATCCTTCAATTTGGTATCAAAGCTAGACCAAATTAAGTATCAAAAAATAAAGTTATAACTTTTGATAAGCGTTTTACCTTAGAGTTATGTCTTCACTATTACGAGTTATAACTTTTTGTATAGTGATAAACGCTTGATACGATAGAATGGGAGGGGTTAGAAGCAGCAGATATATACCTCTAGAGAATCAGTGGTTTCTGGCTTCATTAGTTCACTGTTGGTGCCATTTTCAAGCTTCACTTCCTCTTCTTTCCCTGCAGTGTATGTATGTTTTAGTTTTTGGGTTGATTAAGAAAGGAGTTGAAGGTAATCTTATGTTTGATTTACCTTGTTTGTTTGCCAAGGACCGGCCTGCAGAAAACTGTGAGGAAGTGATGAGGAAAACAAAGAGAAGAAGTGCAAAGGAAACAGTCTTTTGCTTCATGGTTTTCAGTTCTTCAGACTTCAGACAGTAAAACTCAGATTTCTTGACTGGCTGTGTTCTTGTGAGGGAGAGAGAGAGAGAGAGAGATAGTTGTTATAGGACTTGGGAGTTGAGGTTTATGGAGAGGGAGAATGTGTGATTGTGTTGTATAAATAGTGCAAAAGGCAGGCCTAGCTTTTGTTTGAGCCCCATGAAACTTGAGAGACAACTCCCCTAGAATTGCAGACACACAATAGTGGGCCCCTCTCTCCATCATCTTTATTATATATATATATATATATATATATATATATGCTTCCATGCTCATGTGACAACACACACTGATTATTATCTGACCCCCCTAGGCCCTAGCCAGCTAAGGTTAGTATTTTTGGTTTTGAGTAATTTTACATTTATTTCTATTCTATACCCTCATTTTTATCATCCGTATTCTCATTTTTACTCTAAATTTTTATTTTCGACCTATACAAAAAATTTTAATGTAGACACTTTTATTAGAACTCACATGAAAAATGTTATTTATATGTACCCGTCACATCAGGTTATCAGAGAGTAAAATTTAGAAAGTAAGATTAGGGCGTTCATGTAATAGAACTCTTTATTCCTTATGATGTGGATGGTATAGTATGCTTTGATTGTTTAATATAAAGGGGTCATGCATGATTTTTATCCATACTTTTTATTTTTCTTCCAATAAAATTTGAACACATAGTAGGAGTAAAGGTTGGAAATAGGTTTTTGAAGTAATATTTTTGGTTTTTTTTTTTAATCCCGAGAGCTTCTGTCGCTCCTATTTTAGAACCTAAAGTGCTCACTCCTGGAAATTATTGAATTTCCGACCACCTGAAAGTGATCTTAAATCAAGTCGAAAGCCTTGTTCCGACCACTTTTGATATTCGGAAAAACCTTTGTTGCTATTTTCGGCCACTTTTTGGTATCAACTTGATTTAAGATCACTTACAGGTGGTCGGAAATTTCATAATTTTCAGTAGTGGCTTGTGCATTGATGTTTAGTCTTTTTAGTTTGAATTGGTCAGTTATGAAAAACCTAAACTGGTTTACCTTTTTGTGATTTCTCTCTGACTAGGGTTACAAGGTAGGATTTATCAGTATACATCTTCGAATAGTGATTGTATATCTTGATGGTTGCAAGAGAGAGAGAGATAGGTGCTTGGTTTGCTAAGGTCATTGTCAAAGGTATAGTGGTCCAGGCATCGCATAGAGAACTCCAAAAACTCAATATGTAATTGTGTCTGACAGTATCAAGAAGTCAACCTTTTGGACATGCAAACAACTGTTTCCCATCATAGCCTATGCTCTTCTCTTGGGCAAAAAAATTTAATATACCCTAATGTACTTTTCATCTTACCACTTTTAATTATTAAATTTTATCTTTAATTACTCACCACATCCATTAAAATCTAATGTAACATGCATGAAGTTGGTTCAATTCCCACATGGTAACAGCAGCAAAACTAAGTGGCAACTCCACCTTCATATGACTTTGTAGTTCTTATGTTACTGTACCAAACTCTTTCATCAATCATCTCATTATTTATTGCAACAGTGGATTATCTACTATCCACCCTCGAGATGAGCTCCACCTATTTAATTTTAGATTAGGGTTGGACTTTATTGTGTGTAAGAGGGTACAATTTAGTGTGAAGTCTGAAATTAGATAGACTGTTTGTAGGAAAGTATAGTTTGGTGTGATACTTTAATGTCCGAAACTAGACAGACTCAGTTTATCTTTTTATGAATTTGGGAACGTTTTGGGTAGAGTCGTACTAAGCTGAAAAATCTGGGTTATTAAAAAAAATTATTTACTACAATGTAAGTATCTTTAACTTGATGTAACCTTCTTTGTGGTTTCCTTATTCATGAAGTGTTTGTGTTTTTAAAATAAAAATTCAATTGCTATTCTGCTTTTGTTGGGAAATGAATTGAGTATTATTAATATTTAATAGTGTGTCTGCTAAGTGCTACTTCTGACAAATTGGAATACAAAATGGCATTGGAACTGGTTATAGCATTGACAATTTTCATGTATTCCCTTGTAGACTTCTTTAGTATTTAAAATGTCAAAATGTTTTTTTTTTTTAAGAATAATATTGCACTTTTTTACTAGGAGGAAAATTCACAATCACTATTTAAAAATGTGTACTATTATTTTTATATAATAATTCACAAATCATATAAGGATGTGGACTAAACCCCATGCGATAATAAGTTTTGATATGAAAATTATGTTCCATTTATTTGGTCACCTCTTTCGAGACCATTGATATATTTCTTGGCTGAAAAAAAAAAAAAATCTCTCGCCCCATTTCTCAACTGGTTGAGTAAAGAACTTACAATTACTATCTGAGAGTACAGTGTGTACTGTGTAATCCGCACTATTGAGGTATAGTCCGCAAAGACCCCGTGTAATGGGTTCAATAATCGAAAGAGTATTGGCAAAAATTAAACTCGTGACCTTTTAGTATAAAAATCATGCTCCATTCACTCAATCACTCCTTTCAGGACTATATATATATATATATATATATATATATATATATATATATATATATATTTTACTTAATGCATGTTAATGTACCATGAGTTAATTGGCTATAAAAATCCCCTCATTCCATCAATCAGTTGATTAATCTAAAGAAAAGTTAAAAACTTCACTTCCTTAAAATGTTTATTAAGTCTTACAGAGACAAATCTTGGGCTTTACCTCTTCTATAACATTATTGGCCTTTATGAGCTACTCCAATATCAACAATCGTTATACCCTACACCACGGCGCGTGTAGCACTGTGCGCCGCGCGCCTCCGAAGACGCGGTAGGAAGTTGCTGTGATTATGTATATTTGTTCATACAATTATGTACATTTTTATACAATTATGTACATTCTTTTTATACAATTATGTACATCCGAATCAGAAAATTTTTGTGTATTATGTTAAGAGTTGATGTGTATTATGTTAAAAGTTTATGTTTATTATGTATTATGTTAGATTATGTGTATTATCTTTTAAAAAAGAATTTGTATATTTTGTTATATAATTATGTACATTCATGTATACAATTATGTGTATTCTAGTATAACATTATGTACATTTTGAACATGGGTTTTTTTTAAAGAAAAATTAACTAACAAACATTGGGGCGGGAAATTTCAAAAAAAAAAAAAAAAAAATTGAAACGATGTCGTTTTGCATCTGGGCGCACAATGGAACGCACGCCGTGATGCAGGATATAAATTGCCCAATATCAATTGTCAAAATTAAACGTTTATCAAAAGTTATACTTGTATATCAACTACTGCCATGTTTCAATAAAAAAAAAAAACGCATAAAATAAAAAAAAAAAAGAGCAGATTAAGGGCTGTAAGTACTCTTGACAGCTAGGACAGTAAATCTTTTGTGTATGAATTACTAAGGGAAAACACAATAATTAGGGTAAAAGAGAAAAAGGGTTTTACAGAAATGCTTTTGGTTGGTTCTTTATTATATTCCATTCCATTATCCAGCGCCAGCAGGCCTGCAATAACATTAGGAACTGAACTCCCAAGCAACCTCATCATCTATCTCAGAAAAAAGGCATCTCTCTGAAAAGAGACTTTGCCTGCAACAAATCTATCTCCACTCCATTCCTTTTGATTCATTTTGTTCTTCTTTTTCAAGACTATCATTAAATTTTTTTCAATTCTTGATGGCTTGCTGCTTTGAAGATGCCTTCCATACATTGTGCCACTAAGCCTTTTGGTTCCTTAAAGAATACTCACTAAGCTTTTTTGCTACTTTTTTGTATATTGGACAAATCTCTTAGCTTTCTCTATTTGGCCACTTCTTGCTGGTGCTTCTGATGGCTATTTATTTATTAATTTATTTTATTCATTCATGTTTGTTATAATATTTTACTCATTAATTATTATTATAGTATTTTACTTGACTAATAATTGTATGTTATAATATATATTTGAATGTGAAAGTGTGTCATATTTTTTGTGAACAAATTAAAATAAGGCAGTGGATGGTTTGGCTGGAATTCGATTCAATTTATATTAGATTATTGGCTTTGGCTATGAAAAAACATTAAATCTCTCACACCTCAAGCGACAATGCCTACAATTCAACAAAGAGATTAGTTACGGTGTTTGATGGTGAAAACTTTGAGTTACAACAAAACAAAAACAATTGCTAGTATTTAATCTATACTAATTCCATAGTAGTTATGGTAAACCTTTCAATTTTAAAAATAAAATAAAATAAAAGGAGGCAAAACTCACATGATTACTTGCAACTCAATTAGCATATTGAATACTATATACAATATTATTTTGGTAAAATTTTAACTCCAATTTTAGTTATGACGTGTGAATATCATTTATAGTAATTAAATACAAGCTTGGTCGGAGTATAGAAACATCATTAGTCCAAGATATTTGGAGGCTAATGACATTTCTTTTTATTCTTCAAATAAGGAGCTGGAGATATATATAACTTAACTTCTTATGATATTGGAGGGGAATAGCTAGGGTTATCTAACATGAATTGTTGTAAGTCTTCTTTTTCGTTTACTTAGAGAAAGAAGAAAGCAAAGAAAAAACTTATAATAAATGGTTCTGTCCTCATTCTTTTTGGCAAATTATACCATGGATCATGGTCTACCTTGCATTGTAGATCCTGGGTCTAAAAATAACATTCAGGTTCTGTATCTATAGTTGACATATTCTATACCTACAGTTGATAGTTTCTATACATGTAGCTATCATATTATGTGTCAACAATTATCCAAAAATAACCTTCAGATTCTGTATCTATTTGACACATTCTGTACGTGCAGTTGATAATTTATGTACCTGTAGCTATCATATTATGTGTCAGCAATTATTAAGTTATTTGTTTATATGTACAGAAATGGTTAACGGTTAACTGTAGATACAGAATGGGTTAACTAAGGTACATAATATTTGTATAAGGGTTCACAATGCAATATGAACCCTAGTCCATGACTCCATGGTATAACAATTGATTCTTTTCTATCTACAATTCTAATCAGAGCCAATAATGTTAGGCCCTTAACTGGAACAAAAAAAAATGTTGGTAGTATTGTTTCTTAAAATAAATGGT